ATATTGAAGTTTTTGTAAAAAAAGACTAGCTGCAGCAACAAGGTGAGCTTCGAATAAAAAGCAAAAAGTTCTTCCCCATCCAATTTTTTTAGTATCGTTTCGGTAAAGCCATACAATAATTTTAAGACAAAAAAGAAAAAATCGGTACCGTCAACCGGGGCTATTTTGTGCACCAAATAGCTTTTTTTTATTCAAAGATTTATTTAAATTCAGAATTAAGAGAATAAAGAAAATCAACTTTTGATATATGTTGTGGACATCCTTTTGAAGGTTTCCTATAAATTTTGCAAAGAAAAAAATTTTTTTGTCTTAGTTATAGTCATTGAAAGTCGTGAACACAATAACTCCCGGGATGGGGCTATTTTGTGCATCGAACTTTGTTTTTCTATAATGTTGCGTAAACAATTTTTTTAATCGTTTCTGCTTCATGAAATCTTTTGTGTATATATTTGAGAGTAAATTAAAAAAAGAATGACCTAGTAAAATTTTTTTTGTAGATATATTATACAAAAAATGTAAAATAAAGCACTAAAATTTTGCTAAAATCTGGATTTACTAAAAATTAACAATCTTTTTTTAAATTGTATATGACACAGATAGTAAATAAAATTTTTTTCTTTTTTAATATATATTTTATAATAATATACTAATATAATTATAAAATGATCGTTTAAACACTTATAAATAACTTTAAAACATCATTTCAATAGGAGCTTTTTTAATGGTTTTGAATGATATTTTTAAAAAACTTGAAATAAATATTTTTAAGGTTAAATAGATAACAATTTAATATCTAATATGATTTTCAAGTTATTTTAAGAGAAACGAGAAAATAGTTTTGAAACTAATTTGAAAAACTTATAAATATTAATTAATGTTCATTTTTTGAGGTTACGTTGTGCACCGGTAGAGCTTTTAATCGTTTTAATGATTTTAATTAACGTATTTACAGTTTTTTCACAGAAAAGTAAGACAAAAATGTATAAAAATGATAAACAGAATCTTCTTTACTTACTAAATAAAATATTTATGAAAAATATTTGATTTTTTTAAGTGCACAAAATAGCCCCATGGAATCCTGGTTTTTCAGTTTTTTCCACTTTTCTCTTAAAATAATGAATAAAAAGTTAGCGCATTACGTATGTATCATCACAACACAATTGAAAACAAATATCTAACACAGTTTATGAGACACATTAAAACTCTAGAAGATCTGGTATAATTTTTCCGAACTTTCAAAATTTTTTAAACAAATTTTCCGTTTTTAGGAATTTTTTTCTCTTAATTGCCAAAGAATTAAATAATAACATTTAGTGCTCTCTATTGTCATGTAATCAAACTTTCATTTTACAAAATAGCAGATTAAAATAATTCATTTTAATAATTTTTTCCATTAAAAAACTCGCGTGCACAAAATAGCCCCAGTTGACGGTACATGAAATTTTGAATAAACTCAGTTTTTCGATTTTTTTCATTTCGGATATTTAAAAAATCTTCATTTGTTAGTGAGTTGGGTAAATTCTACAAAAATTGAGGAGAAATAGACAAAACTTCGAAAATATAGAAGAATTTAACTACAAGCATCTAAATTTCAAATGGTTATGCAGATTTTCGGTATAACTGGATACAAATTCTGTGTCAGATTTCTAAAATTCAAAATAGCGGATCGTATATAGCAGACGATTTGGTAAATCTGACATCGTATTCGCATTTAGTTGTACCGAAAATACGCAAAAGTATTTGAAATTTATATTCTGGTTTGTAGTAATATTCTTCTTCATTATCGAAGTTTTGTCTATTTTTACTTAGTTTTCAAAGAATTTGCCAAACTCAGTAAACAGAATGAACGATTACTCAGAGGAAAATGGAAATATTTTAAATTTTCAAAATGAATTTTAAAGAAGAAAAGTAGCATCTTCAGATGCAATATTGAACTTTTGTCAAAACAATTATTTTTGGATGTTAAAAAACTGGTCTTTTGCACTTTTAAGTTAAAATACCTCGAAAACCTGACGTGCAGGGTCTATTATGACACTGGATTAGGAATTATCACGTTGAAAACCTTCGAAAAAATATAGTTTCATTCTTGTTTAGTAAATACTGTCGGCCTGTGGTACAAACGGTTCCTAAATTTTTTAAAAATTGATGATAAACGACAATTTCTTCATCAATTTTGGAAATTTTTAAGGCTTTACAGAAATTTTCGGTGCTTTTTACCATAAAAAATCTTTGTTGATGCTAAAAAAAATCCGAATCCTCCGGCTGCTACTCTTGAAAAAATTGTTTTTTCATAGAATTTCTTTAAATTTTGAGAAAATATCTCTTCGGGTGCACTTTAAATGTGTTAAAAATTTAAAAACCCTTTTGCGATGCTAAATTTTGAGATATACAAGTTCAAACTTTAACTTTTACATGCGATTATGTTAAAAATAAAAAATGTCAACCACAATATCTCGTTTTTTGACATGGCAAAGAGTTTTGAAATATTTAAATATTTACAAAGAAACATTTTCTCAAAATTTGAAGAAAATCTATTGAAAATCAATTTTATCGAGAGTAGCAGCCGGAGATATACCTAAAATTTTTTATTTAAAAATTAATTTTTTTTTATTAACTTTATTTGCATTCTAAAGTACATACTTTTACCTGAAAAATGTGTAAATTTTATAAGAATCCACAAACAATATTCCGAGATATTCAAAATTTTATAAAATTAATATTAAAGTTCAAAATGGCGTATCTTCAACAATTTTTGAATTAAAAAAAAAATTTTAGGGAAAGAAGTCTCTTATGTGTGTATATATATATATATATATATATATATATATATATATATATATATATATATATATATATATATATATATATATATATATATATATATATATATATATATATATAGCTACACAGAAAAGAACCATTTTCTTTAAAGAAACATTGAAAATTACTGCAAAAATTCAATAAAATCTCTTTTTTCCCATTCAATCAGTTTTTGGGTCCATTAATTATTTACAAATTCACTTTATTATTTTTGTATTTGTTTTTTTAGATGAAAAGGAAACTTTTTCAGCCCGGCACTCATTGATATTAAATAATTTTACAAAAATGGCCAGGCTAGTATTTATCTTTAGAACGTCACAAAATTAATTTAACTTTTTTTATATACCCTTTTGCTTTAAAAAAGATATTTAATGTGCAATTTATTATGCTACTCATAAATATAAATTATACGTTAGCTATAGTTTGACATGTGTTTTGCATATAATCTGATTATATATATTTGCACTTCAGCGTTGTCAACCATTTTTGTACATTTTTTTAGATGCTCTTTTTGTTCTTGAAATATTTCTTAATTAAAGGAACTCTAGAATTGAAAATTATATATTTATAACAGAAAAACATGACTGATCCATTTATAAAATGAACTGCTCATTTGAATCACAACCACAGGTACAATGTTCTGTTATGAATTTCAGTTCAATAATACACATCTTTTCTACAAATATATATTATAAAATGCTATATAGTGAGGTATAATCTTTAATAACATAAACATAAACACATAATATTCAAAATTAGATTTGAATAAATTTGCAAAATTTAATGATATTGGAATATTAAGTTTCAACTTTTAAATGATAATTAATTTTTTTTCTTTGACAACTTTTTTCCACAAAATCAAACACATTCCTTAGAAATGCTACTCTGCATTAACATTTTATTAGAATATAGGAAGTGTAATATATTTTTTATTTAGTAACGCAATATTTTCTGTAATAAATTTTAATTGAAATATTACGCTATAAAAATATATTATGTTACCTTAAATTCTTCAAAAAATTTTGTACATAATATCACTTTTCTTAGAAAAATGTTCAGTTTTCCAGAAAAGACAATGATCAAAGAAAGAAATTTCAATTTATAAACCGAAAGCGATTTTACAAACTAAACTTCCAAAACCCTTAAATTATAAAAAATTATTTTTCCTTAAATTAACAAACATTTTAAAAAGCTATAGTTTAACTTTTCAGTGTATTGAAGATAACAATAATGCGGACACTAAGTAATGGGTATAAGGCACGTCAGTCTTAAAGTTTCAATTCATGCTATTCGGCTTAAAACTTCAGTCTTCGATTAATATGGTTATCAGTCTTAAATTTCTTAACATATTGTTTTTGTACGTATGGAGGTAGATTGTTGTATTTGCAACTTGCAAATTAATGTCATTATCTTTACGAACAAAAGTTCATAACAAAAATATTTAATTAAATTCTGCTATATTATTTATAGTGTATATTATCAGTAGCGGAAAAGTCGAATTTTCATGATATCCACTTGCGGTTACACAATATCAACACCGGAATACTTATAAATTCTTACTGGGGTATTTAATCAAGAACAGATTTTAAAATAAATTTTTCGATGAGAAATTTTGTTCATGATGCTTGTAACTAAATATTATAATTGTGGTTTATTGCATCCGTATCCCATGGCCATTGCCTATAATTAATTATTGCTAAATCTAAAATTACAACAATCATTATAGTATTTAATGTAGCAATATATGTGCGTTTATCAATATTTTTCTCCCATCTAGAACATTAAATGTAAGATAGGAACATATTTAACCTAAATAACAGTAAACATTAGCCCTTAATAATTTTAAAAATAAAGACAAAAAAAAATAATGTAGCATAATGCTATCGTACTATTTTATAACAGTAACTATAAGTTCAAATCACAAGGTAAAATTTTAAAGTCATTTTAAATGAATTTAAAATTTTTCATTTTAAATGAATGTTCTTGGAAATATTTGTAGACAATTTTCAGTTTTGTCACATTTTATAATTAAAGTTTTTGTATAAAAAGAATAAAATTATTGTTAAAATTATATAAAAGAAAAATATATGAAAGAAATAGATGAATAGTTCTTCAATAGGAACTAAATATTTTTTGATTTACAAATTTATCATTTCAATTGCAAAACACCTTTAAAGAAAATATGATGGATAAAAATAGTAAAATATGGTTTTTTCAAAAGTTTCTTATTTAACTTTGTTTTAAATAGAGATTTCTCAAACAAAAATGAAATTTTTTGAAACTATAGTGAAAGTTTAAAGCAATTCCAATTAAAACATATCATTATCAGTCTTTACAACACTCTTTAAAAACTATGTTCATTTTATTTAAGTTGAATTTTTTTACGTTTAGACTGTTCAACTTAAAAACATAAGTAGAGGGATGATTTAGAAATCTATAATGTTATCAAAAAGAAAACATTAGATTAACTAGTGAGTAATGTAGTACAATCGAATCAGTAAAGATGTCACTTATTGACAATTATGATTTTCAAGAACTTACTTCATCTTTTATAGAAACATCGCCTATATCTTCACTGGACGCTTCTTTTCTTGATTTTATGGACAGATCTTCAACCATGTTATCAAAATTTTCATTTTCTTTAAGATTCTCAATTACGGGACTTGGACTTTTTTGCCTTGAATGTATTAAAGGACTTTGTTCTTCCAGAGAGGAGTAAGAGCTTCTGTAAATGCTTCCATTTACATTACCGCCAATCCCAAAGGGAAATTGAGCACTGCCATTGTCCACATGTGAGTTTGTTGATGAACTCCTTCTGTTGCGATTAGTTCGAATGCCTAATTTTTTTACTTTATCATATAAGGTACGAGATGGTACTTTATATTTTCTAGCAGCTTTCAGAGCGCTTAAACCTCCTTGTTTGACTTCCATTATAGCATTATTAATATCTTCACGTGTATATTGCTTATATCGTTTCCATTCTCTCGCAGCTGGAGTATTGTAATTACTGTTTTCTGAAAGATTAATAAAATAATTTATTACTTTTATTGTATTAGTACAAAAACTATAAGTCAATACCCTCTTTTAGAACCATTTCTTGAACTGAACTTTAGTTTAAGGTCTTTTTTGAATTACGAGAATATTTTTCTCGATTCAATAAATTGTTTTTACCTTTTAGAGATCTTAGAAGAGAAAAATTTTTTAAAAACCTATATATTATATGTATGGATAAAAAAATTTTCAGACCCTTTATGTGTTAAATATGTACGCAAAATAGTAATATACATACTTTTTGCAGGAGAAATGTGTCTATCTTCATCTTCCATGTCAGCTGTTGGACTTGAGACGCTTTCATTTCGTGAAAAATCAGAACTATATCTTCTGTTACTCTCATTGACAGGAGTATTAATTTTTTGTCTTGCATCATGTTCAGAGCCATTACCTTTTCCTAAAACTGTTCTCAAAATTGGAGTGTCCATATTAGCCATCATTGATGACAATTTCTTTTTCATTAATGGAGATGTACTTTGTTCATAAGATCTACTGAGAGCCGAAAGTTGTGAATGATATGAAGAAAGACCGTGTTGTGGAAATGGAAATGCTGGAAGGTTCCAAAATCCAGGATTATGCATTAGATTGTGATTTGTGACCAATGAACTGTATAAATTATCTCGTGATGTAGAAGGAGACACCTGATTCTGTTCATTTCTTGAGGATATATTTGATGTTGATGGTGATGAACTAGTTATCTCCTAAACATTTAAAAACAATCATTGAATTAATTTCACATAATTTTATTTCTTGGCAAATAAAGTACTATATAAATATACACGGAGAAAATTTGTTCCTTATATTTTACCGAATTTTTCAATAAAATTGGGATATAGTGGCATAATCGTAATTTTTAATAATTTTTAAATTATTTTTTCAGTATCAATATTTAAAATTTAATGTGATATCTTTATTCCTTACTGTAAAAGTTCAAAAAAAATTTAAACTGAACGTTTAATATAAATTAAATAAATACCTCCTTGATGGACACTAACGTTTCAAGAATAGTTCGGTAAAACTTTCTTGACTTGCCTAAAGTGTTAGTTTTCAAGAATAGTTCAGTAAAACTTCCTTGACTTGCCTAAAGTATTAGTTTTCTGGATTGAAATTTATTTCAAGTGTGCCGCAGTCAAATGAAAGACTTTCACACTAATAGTTGATTTTTCCAACTTATTTAGACTTATCGTTAATTAATTATAATTTTATTATTATCTAAATTAAAATTCAATTAATTAATTATTTTAAACACTTATTAATTGCCAAATATGTAATAAATGCTTTTAAATCATATAAAAAGAAAATATAAAATAGCAATAACATACTTATTTTTTAACATAATTTATTCATTTTAATTAAATATGAATAATAGTAAGTAAGTAAGCAAGTAAACATAAGTTAGTAAGCAAAAAGGAAATAAATAAGTAAGCAATTAAACATAAGTAACAATTATTTTTTAATATTTCAGAAAGATTAATTTTCTATTAATTAATTTCATAATTTCCAACTTGCACTTTTATTCAGAATATGTACATTTTTAATTTTTAACACAAAAATTTGAGAATAATAAGGATTTTTATAAATTATTGTTTTATTCCATTAAATACAAATTTAAACATTTTTCTTTATAATAATAAAAACATAATTTAGAAATATTTCATAAATTGACCTTGAATATAGTTAGAAATGATTAATTAATATAAATAATTTTTAATTTTGTACAACGATGTTTATTAATTTGAATCTTTCTCACAAGCGGTGAAATAAAATTGAGATTAATATATAAGGACAATTCAAACTTTCTGAAGCAATAATGCAAAGCGTGCGATGTGTGTATCAGTGTATGCGTTTATCAATCCGAACGACAATTCATTGTGGAGAATGACTAAAATCCTTAAAAAAGAATTCCATCCTATACCCACCCTAACCTCAAATGGCATGGAAGCCCTTACTCCTCTCCAAAAAGCTAACATGCTATCCAAGCACTATGAAAATGTACATAACATCGACGTTCATAACTTAACAACAGAACAACATGACATAGTGCAAGAAGTTGCAAAAACTATTAACGATACAGAAAATATTCAAGACTTTACTAAATTTTACACAAATCCCAATGAAATTCGTAATGAAATTAAAAAATTGCCATCTAAAAAAGCTCCTGGGTTGGATAATATTCAAAACATTGTTATAAAACATGTTACAAAGAAATCAGTAATCCAACTAATGTATATAATCAACGCATCTATCAGATTGTCACATTTTCCTAGTCACTGGAAAACAGGGAATATTGTACCAATATATAAGGAAGGAAAATGTAAATCAGAACCTAGTAGTTATAGGCCTATTAGTCTTCTTCCTACATTAAGTAAACTCGCAGAAAAAATAATACTCAAAAGAATAAACGATCATGAACGCAAAAATAAAATCATAATTGACGAACAGTTTGGATTTAGGGAAAGACACAGTACTGTACAACAAATTGTAAGAATAGTCAATGACGTTAGTATTAATTTTAATCTAGATAAAACGACTGTTATGGTATTATTAGACATAGAAAAGGCATTCGATCGAGTCTGGATGGACGCAATTTTGTATAAAATGATACAATACGAATATCCACTCACGTTAATCAAATATGTACATTCCTATCTTCAAAATAGACACCTGGTAGTCACAATAGATGGGTGTACCTCAGAAAAACGAAAAGTAAGAGCTGGTGTTCCACAAGGATCGGTTCTAGGGCCGAAGCTCTTTAATATTCAATTAAATGATATTCCTAAATTTTCAAAAACAAAAACATCTCTCTTTGCAGATGATACAGCCATCTATTGTCACTCTTTCAACGCCATAGTAGCAGCAAAACAAATTCAAATTCACATTAATATGCTAGAGAAATATTATAAAAAATGGAAAATAAACCTAAATGCTAGTAAAACAGAAGTAATAATATTCTCTAAAAAACCATCATGCTCAAAGATCTTTAATCCAATAACAGTTTATGGTACTCCCATACAACCCACAAACAATGTTAAATACCTTGGTGTCCATCTTGACTCGAGATTGACTTTTCATAAACATATTTTAGAAACTATAAGAAAGGCGTATGCTGTTCAGAAAAAGATTTATCCTCTTATGGCTAAAAACTCTACTGTAACTGAGAAAAGTAAAAATATTATATTTAAATCAATTTTACGACCAATTATGGTATATGCAATAAGTGGTTGGTGCAGTGCATCCAAAACTAACTTTAAACCATTGCAAGTGTTTCAAAATAAACAATTAAGATTAATATTAAATGCAGATAGATACACGAGAATCACTGAACTGCATGAGAAAACTAAGACTGAAATGTTTAGAGATTATTCGTTATTTTTAGCAGAAACTTTTTATGAACAGCATTTATCGACAAGCGAATTAACCAAAAAAATTCCAGAGATGAATAGACATTATCTGCCTTTTAAACTAAAACATAAATTACCATATCAGGTACTTAATTTCTTTAATCGACGCTAAAAATGTGCGTAAAGGTATGTAGGTTTTTCTACGAATATTTGTTTTCCTACACATTAATAAACTATTGTATAAAGCATCTTCTTGCTGTAAACCATAGAGAAACTCAGTACCGAAACTGTAATATTGTCTTTAAAGCAATCAACAAACTGTATAAGTAGGTGAAGCTAAATGTTAATCTTGGCAGGTACTACGTGATATTATTATAAGACTTTTACAGATGTATCTATTGTTATATATATTTTTGTAATTTTATATGGATAATAAACTGTTATTTAAAAAAAAAAAAAAAAAAAAAGTGTATGCGTTTAGAATGTACTGTAGGCAGGTGTGTCAATTAGTATTTGTTCGTAAACAATTGTAGGGGGTTTAGGTAGTGATTGAAGTAGGTAAATTAAGAGTTACGGCAGTATTAATATAGATCTACTGAATTAACATTATTTTTTATTTTTGTTCTTCAAGTTTTACCGAACTTTCAGTAAATTGAAACTGATTACATTTTACCGAAGACTTTATCTTACGCAGGCGCGGATCCAGGGGGGGCATAGTGGCATGGCCCCCCCGAGAATTCAAACTTCCTGGAATTTTTTAAATAAAAATTCCATTCATATAAGGTCATCAAGCTGACGTCTAGCAGATAGCCCCCCCCCCACAGTGGTTTAAAATTTATTTTTTTTATTCATAATCAACTACAGACCACAATTTTTAACCGATTCACAAAAATTTTTTTTTTAATTCTTCAGAACAAAATTCTTTAGAGAACTGTCGTTTTAGAATGTTTATTTTTGTTAATGTTTAATTTATAAATAAACAAACATACTGATAAAATTGGACTTTTTAAGAATATGCACGGTTTTTTCTAAAAAATAAAACAAAAAAAACTTAATATCTTATAAAATGGTTGTAATAATACTTGGAGAGAATAATTAATGTAAATTTATACAATAATAAAACATAGAATAGTTATAAACAATTTTCTTAAACAAATTAATATATGTGCTGTTATATCAAGATATTTGGTTCTAATTTTTTAACTTGGGGGTTTTTGAGGTCACTGATTATTACGAATCTGGTATTAGATTTTCATAATTCAAAATGGCGGATCCAATATGGCGGATGACTTTTTTAAAAATTCATCGGATTTGCCTGAAATTCGTTGTTCTGAGGTTTCTGAGGTCGCTAATTTCGAAACTGGTATTGGATTTTTAAAATTCAAAATGACGGATCCAATATGGCGTATGACTTTTTTTTAAATTTATCAGATTTGCCTGAAATTCGTTTCTCTGTGATTTCTGAGGTCGCTAATTACGAATCTGGTATTAGATTTTTAAAATTCAAAATGGCGGATCCAATATGGCGGATGACATGGTTTAGGTGGTTCTGAGAAGGTCCTATTAAAGATTTGGTAATTTTTAAAAACTGTTTTTTACATTAAGTTATGTATTTGGCCCTGAAGAGGGCTAATTGAAGAGTGTTACAGTGAACCATGTATATGGCCCTGAGCAGGGCCGATTGAAGAGTGTTACATTAAACCATGTATGTGGCCCTGAAAAAGGACGGTTAACCGTCTTTTTTTAGGGCCACATACAAAACTTGATGTAAAAAACAGTTTTTAAAAATTACCAAATCTTTAATCGGACCTTCTCAGAACCACCTAAATCATGTCATCCGCCATATTGGATCCGCTATTTTGAATTTTAAAAATCTAATACCAGATTCGTAATTAGCGACCTCAGAAACCACAGAGAAACGAATTTCAGGCAAATCCGATGAATTTTTAAAAAAGTCATCCGCCATATTGGATCCGCCATTTTGAATTTTAAAAATCTAATACCAGATTCGTAATCAGCGACCTCAAAAACCCCCGAGTTACAAAATTAAAACCAATAATCTTGATATAATAGCACATATAATAATTTGTTTAAGAAAATTGTTTATAACTATTCTATGTTTTATTATTGTATAAATTTACATTAATTATTCTCTCCAAGTATTATTACAACCATTTTATAAGATATTAAGTTTTTTTTGTTTTATTTTTTAGAAAAAACCGTGCATATTCTTAAAAAGTCCAATTTTATCAGTATGTTTGTTTATTTATAAATTAAACATTAACAAAAATAAACATTCTAAAACGACAGTTCTCTAAAGAATTTTGTTCTGAAGAATTAAAAAAAAAATTTTTGTGAATCGGTTAAAAATTGTGGTCTGTAGTTGATTATGAATGAAAAAAATACATTTTAAACCACTGTGGCCCCCCCAAGAACCTTGTCTGGATCCGCCCCTGATCTTATGTTTTACCGAACTATTCAATAAATTGCAACTCGTCAGTTTTACCGAAGACTTTATTTTACGTTTTACCTAACTATTCAATAAATATGAATGTAGCGAGCAGTTAGCTTACGTTTTACCGAACTGTAAGTGAAGCGCTAATACATGTATCATAAGGTTTATGATTTTCACATTATTTTTCAATGCAATTTCTTTTACAGTCTAGTTCTTGAAAAATTACTGTTTTGACAGTTCATCCCAGTTTTACAGAACTAAATTCAGTAAAATTTCAGGAATAAATTTTCTCCGTGTATAAATAAACTAAATTGCAAATAATGTTATAAGAACAAATTTAACTTACAAATCGTAGTGGCTGTTCTTCGTCAATTTGCACATTTGGCTCAATTTTTGAATCTGTTAGGCCATTTAAACCTTTAATCTATAAAAATAAAAGAATTGTTAGAAAAATTGTCTAAAGTTATATACAAAATGTTTTTATATTATTCTTCTCAAACATGTCTTTTAAATCCCTGGCGGATTATTGAAGTACGAAAAGACGTACTTCTTAATAATTATGTAGAAATAATTAGATAATTAGATAGAAACTGTATTAAACAGTATTAAAATAAAACTGTTAACATTTCGCCGCGCATTTTGCACGACAGATGGCGACAGTGGCATTTGTCTATGTGTTTTCTCACATCAAAATAAAACAACAAATATTATTTTTATAGTGCAAGATATAACCTTTCTTTAAATTATTTAAATTCAAAGAAAATAATGACAAATTTAAATTAAAATGTTAAATAATATTAGGTATACATACTTAATTTATCATTTATTTATATACTATTAAAGGACACCGTACAAAATACATGAGAAACAACTCTCGGTAAACTTTCTTGCTTTTGGTAAATAGAAAGAGTTTTCATCTTATCTTTATTGGCAAAAAAAGTCTTCATTTTCTGTTTAGGGATTAAAATTAAATGTTATATTTTTAAAAAATGAAATATTCTCACCATTTTTTGTAATAGAGCGTTTAAATAAAAAATTGCTTTTAAAGTAAAAAGGAGGAGTTTAAATCTTATTTTTATTAGACAAAATCTTTATTTTCTCTTTAGGGGTTGAGACTAAATGTCACATTTAAAAATATATTCTCAGTATTTTTTCAATTGAGAAACGAATGATAAAATTTTTTAAATGAAAAATTTAGTCTTAACCTCTAAAAAATATGAAGACTTTTGGAGATTAAAAGTAAAATTCAAACTCCTATTTACAATATGCTATTTTCTGATTCGATTCTTAATTTAAAAAATTCTAAGAATATTTTTTTAAATATTGATATTTAGTCTCAACCCCTAAAGAGAAATGAAAGATTTTGGCGATTTTGGCTAATAAAAATAAGATTTAAACTCCTCCTGTTTCCTGTAAAAGTAATTTTTTATTACAAAAAATGGTGAGAATATTTCATTTTTAAAAAATATAACATTTAATTTTAATCCCTAAACAAAAAATGAAGACTTTTTTTGCCAATAAAGATAAGATTTAAACTCTTTCTATTTACCAAAAGCAAGAAAGTAGACCGAGAATTGTTTCTCATGTATTTTGTACGATGCCCTTTAATAGTATAATAAATGATAAATTAAGTAGGTATATTATTTAACATTTTACTTTAAATTTGTCATTATTTTCTTTGAATTTAAATAATTTAAAGAAAGGTATTCAAAGAAGCTTTTACGTCCGAGTTGTTTTTTCAATTACTAGGTAAAAATAATAAAATTTATTATTTTTACCTACTAATTTAAAGAAAGGTTATTTCTTACACTATAAAAATATTATTTTTTGTTTTATTTTCATATGAGAAAACACATAGACAAATGGTTAAATTTCATCCTGGGATGTTCATTTATTCATTTCAATAGTTTTCTTCAAAAGTTTCTATCCAATTATAATTATGAAATATTTCTGATATAGTCTCGAAATCTTTCATAATTAAAATTCTTAATCAGCATATAATTTCCTACATTTCTATCTAATTATCTAAATATTCCAACGAAATACAAATGCTTAAGAAAAGACGATGAATTCGTCGTCTTTTCGTACTTCACCAATGCGCCATGGAGAACAGAAAATAATGGATTCCAGAATCTTAAAATAACTAAAAATAAACATGTTTATTAAGAGAATTGACAAATTAAATTGATAAACTGCGTAAATTAAATTGTATCAGTTCTCTCTAAATCTGAATATGTGAAAATTCACATATTTGTAAGTTATAAGTCACTCTCTCGTTCAATAAGTGCATATACACTTATAATAAGTGAAATTTCACTCAGAATCAGTGAAAAATTCACTTATTTATAAGTGTATATGCACTTATTGATCGAGAAGATGACTTATAACGTACAATAAGTGAAATTTCACATATTCAGATTTAGAGAGTTGTAACTGAAGAATATAATTTTCTGTAACTTTTCCTCTTTTCAAATTTTAATGAGAGAATAGTAATAAATTTATACTTCAGAAAATTTAATTCTACTATTCCTAAAATAAAAAAAAACAACTTTCTAAAGTACTTTTTTATTACCTGAAGACCTTCTGCAAGTTTCAGGAATTCCGGTAAATCTTCTGCTGTTACATTTACTTCACCTCTGTAGATATACGTTATTAGAGCAACAAGGTCCTTAAATCTAGTTTCTTTACTTAGAATAATAATGAACTGATCGATTGGTGCAATCATGTGACAATTTTCTTGAATAAATCCCGAACACGCTGCTAAAACAATCTGATGACATTTTAATTTCTCTCCAGTATCTAAGACAAATGTTAAATCTGTGAAGTTCTCATTTTGTCTCAATTCTTCAAAAACATCAATCATATTTGTTTTATGATTGTTCCATTTTAGACAAAAATTTTGATTTCCCGGGTCCATCGTGTTGCTCATCTTTAAACCTAAAAATTGAATTAAAAATTGATAACATAAAATCCAAAAATATTTGATGACAATATTACACAGGAACACAAAAATTTTTTAAAGTAAGTATTGACCGGACCATATTTTTTATATGTTTTTTGAGTGGCTGAATTCGAATTCGAACTCGTTTTCCGCCATCACGTCAAGTTTCTTCACAAATTAATAAAATTCTCAACAAACTGTTTGTAAATAAGATATATAAATAAAAATAAGCAGAAGAATCTATTAAAAAACAACTTTAACACACTTGAAAAATATTATATAATGTTAAATAATCAAAAAAACTCGTAAATATTCAAAATTTTAGATGGCGGATCCAATATGGCGTCAATTTTTTTTTAAATTCACCCAATTCCCCTGAAACGTTATACTCGGGGGTTTTTGGGGTCGCTGAATACGAATTTCACCTTAGTTTTCAAAAATTCAAAATCTGATAAATTTTTAAAAAATTCGTTAGCCATATTGAATTTTTTTTAAATTAAGGTGAAATTCGTATTCAGCGACCCCAAAAACCCTAAGTAAGAAGTTTCAAGTAAATCTGATAAATTTTTTAAAAATTCATCAGCCATATTGGATCCGCCATTTTGAATTTTGAAAAACTAAGGTGAAATACGTATTCAGCGATCCCAAAAACCCCCGAGTAACAAATTTCAAGTAAATCTGATAAATTTTTTTAAAAATTCGTCAGCCATATTGCATCCGCCATTTTGAAGAAACTTGACGTGATGGCGGAAAACTGAGTTCGGATTCGAATTCAGCAATCCAAAAAACATGGTCCGGTCAATACTTCCATTAAAATAGTTATTATCGTATCAAGGGCGCAAAAAAGGTGATAGCGACGATGGCAAGATGAAGGGACCGAGGGGACACTTTCGCACCCTCGGCTTCGCCTCGGGCGCGAAAATGTCCCCTCGGTCCCTTCATCTCGCCAAAATCGTAATCACCTTTGCGCCCATGTTGCGAACATAATTTTTTGTCCTAAGGGTGCGATCCCATGTGAGCAGAATACGTCGACCGAAAGCAGAAAATTATGAGAGTGAAAAGAACAACAATATCTACCTATCTCTTTTGCCCTCATGATTTTCTGCTTTCGGTCGACGTATTCTGCTCACATGGGATTGCACCCTAACTGCATGAAAAGTATGGTAGTGATGCTGATTCCACACTTACCCAGTCGCTCCGCTTTTCCGTGGCGCTTCGCGTGAGACAGAAAAAGATAGAGATAGTCTCTGTCTTTTTCTATCTCACGCAAAGCGCCACGGAAAAAGCGGAGCGCTGGGTAAGTGTGGAATCAGCATGAAGGCACGAGCGAAGCGGGCGAAAAAGTACTTTTGCGCCCGCTCGGGCCAGATGAAGCTTGTGTGACGTCAGCGGGCGTAAAAGAATTTTTGCGCCCGCTTCCCCGACCCCGGGCGAGAATCAGTTACTTTGCGCCCACTTTAAGTGCCCGAAATGACATACTTTTCGTGAAGGTAGGACAAAAAAAAATTTATGGTCCTGTGTTATTAATCTAAGACACTTTCTTTTCAATTAGAAAAGGGATAAAATTGTAATATTTTTAAAAAATTAATTTTATTATTGTTGTAAATAGTTCATAAAAAATACGAGGGGCTATTTACTCTACGAGTACAACGGCAGGTACTTAGAAACCATGTTAAGAATACTGAACGATTAGCTTGAGAATTTTTTGCGAATGTAAAGAATTCATAATATTATTGAATTCTGCAAAATGTCTGTTTCCTTTGTAGTGTTAAAGTAATAGTGAAAAAATAAATACAAGCTAAAACTTTTTGAAAGTTTTACAAATTATTATAATTTTTCCTTATTCAAATAAATGAACTTGAAAATGTTATTCTTTATAACTACATTCTGAGTTCTTAATACTGGCTAGACAGCCAGTATTGACTAATTAAATGCTTTTGTGAAATTACGCAGAGTCGTTAAAATGTAATTACATCTACAAAAAATCTTTTTCAGGATTATAAAGAATGTTGAAGTAATATGGGTCTGTTCAATTTCGCAGAAAAATAAATTATAAAAAAGCTCATTTTTTATCCCCTCTTCATACCCAGTTACTATATATGCCCTTCTACGATCTGGCGGTTCAACTAAAGTGTTTTTTTTTAATTTACTTTGATTTAAAATTGTTAAGGTGAAAAAATTCTTAGGAAATACAATGTATGAGTTTTTCAAAAATATTTTTGGACACAGAAAAAAGAAATTTTTGTAGTAATTTCTTAGAAATTAGATATGTTTACAGTATTTCTGATAAAATTACCTGCAATTTTTTTTACTTGATCTTGCATTCCCTAACTTATGTCAACCTTGAATAATGAACACTCCAATAAGTTAAAGTACCAAAATATTCATTTCATTCGTGATTATTATTCACAATTTTGTTAATAATTAACAAACTTTTGTCAATTGAAATATTTAAATCTGTTCTTATTATAAAAATTAAATATATATATTGTATACAAGATTAAAAGTTTTTTTGTAAACTTCGCTGATAAGTTATTGTTCTAGGCGTGAGTCTCGAGAGGGAGTTACGGCTGCGCCCCCCTTCCTTTCCGTCTTCGCGATAAGCTTTCCGCATCGCTTATACGTAGAGTAATTTCCTATAGTAGCTATGGTTGCGCATTAAATATAATAAACAGACCCATGTTCCAAAAGTACATTAGCTTGAAACAAGCTAAGGGAGCGTTCACAAATGATGTCACGATTTTTGGAGGTAGGGGGGGTCTCTACTAAACGTGACACAATGTATTTTTTATATGTGAAATTGCGTGACTGGGTGAGGGGGGGGGGTGAAAATTTCAAAAAAATGCGTGACATCATTTGTGAACGCTCCCTAATGGCAAACTTGCATATATTTATATGAATATATACCAGAACTTTTAATAATTAATATTATTTTAGAATATTTTATAAAAAACTAGTAATTAGTTTTATTATATGATTGCAAAAAGTTTGCAAATCATCTAGTATATTTAAAAAATATTTCGTGGTGTAAATTATTTGAATCATAAAACTTTTTTAAAAAGTTTTGATGTAAGACATTCAATTTTACATTTAAGACATATGCGCATTTTTAAATTATATCTTCAATTATTGAATTTTCTTTTACATTCCGTCTAGGGTATTCACAATAAGATAAAATTGATTCTACTAATTAGAATTAATGATTTTATTATAAAATTAATTAAAATTAAACCCCCAGTTGTTGGCAAAACGTCTTAAAGTATGCACCTGCTACTTTTAAAAACATACACTTTGATATATTTTAGAACCGATTTTTTAAAAATTAAAATTAAAACTTTTTAACTAAAAGCAAATCAAGTATGTAAAATTCAATATCTTTTATTTAAAAAAATAATTTGGACAACTTATTTCTAAATTCGCGCTTTTGTAATTTTCTACCCCACGACTTATTGCGCAGACAACTGAATTTTAAAACAATATTCTATTTTCCATTTCGCGCGAAAGTAAAAAATATTAAATAGAATATATGTTCCATTCATTTTACCATTATAAAATATTTTACAAAAAGATTGCAATTTCATTACAAGTCACAATATATTTCGTGTATGACTATAATAAACACTACAAACCACTTTTCAGTTTCACTTTAACAAGTGATGAAGGAAAAGGAAAAAAGATATAAAAATTAAAAAAGCAAATAATTTAATATATTTTAGTTAATTATTAAATATATAAATAAATGTAAATTATAATAAACAATAAGTGTTTATGCATATAATTCCATTCAGAACTATACCCATAAAATAATTGCATGCAATCAAACAGCGCTGATAAATGTTTTTTTTAAAATAATTAACTCAAGGCACGATATTCTTTAACTTTAAAAAATAATAAAACAAAAAATTTAATATTTTGTAATTTACATGATTAAGCACATAATCGAAAAATGAAAGATCGTTTCTTATCGAGCATCGAACTTACCGTCTACTGTGGTTAAAAGAACGTCTAATATTTGTTCCTCGTTCTGAAAATTTTTCACTTTAATATTTCAATGATGAAGTTCCATTTACATGAAAACCGACAACACTTTGGATAAGATAAGGAAAAAATTTACAGATAAAAATGTAAAAAGGAAAACTTATATTCACAATTTTTTTTAAATTATTCACTAACAAAAAATGATACAATATTAAATTGAAAATAATAATAATAATTTCTAAAATTGTCAATTTAAACGTGGGTAAGAACCCTTAATTTTTGCTATGAACCACTTCTACGTCCTGATTATGATGAAGTGATGGTGCGAACTGAATAGTGAATACTGCAAGGGTGGCATAGATATGGTATAACTCGTAGATCGTAGTTTGCCTACTCTTAAAACGCACGCTTTAGAAAATTCGTGGCATTGGTGGATCGGCTCATCTAGGAACACTCACATTATCTTGAGAGCCAATCCCGTCACTTCCTGCAAGCCTAGGCGATATATTCGCTAGGGCTAGGGTGGAAAGTACTTCTATGCGTGCAACGTAGTACATATTTCGGCTAGCAGGGTCGGATGTATGTATATATATATATATATATATATATATATATATATATATATATATATATATATATATATACTTATTTGTAAAAATATGTAAACATTGCCATTCGAATTATTTTTTATTAATATTTTTTGCTTTTTAAAAAAATCTTTCAAAACATTCGATTTTTATGTAATTCAGAAAATGTTATAAATTCGTATAAATTAAATTCAACTGCATTAAAACCTAAATTCTTTCCTACTACACAAATTTTAATCATACACAAATGTAAAAAAGTCTTCTTTTTGTTTAATAATAGCAGATATTTTTTTTATGTTATCAAGAAGAAAGAATTTCCTAAATTCAAAAAATTAACTTCTTTGTGGATTGACAAATCTGAAAATTTTTCATCATTTAAAAGCAATTAACTTAATGTGTATTTTTCAATTTATGAAAATCTCTACAGGCTAAATGATACACTTCGATAAAGTGCAAGGTTTTTGTAGGTATTTCATTTTAAATATACTTTAAATTAAAATATTTCAATTCTGCTATAGCTATTAAAATAAAAAATATATTTTAGTGTGGAAAATAAATACAAATGTAGAATATAAATAATAAATTTATTTATATTTATTATTTATATATATTTGTATCTATTTTTTATATTTTAAATATATTTTTGTGTATTATGTTTATGTTTTATGTATTATATGTATTATTTTTTATTAAGAATCGAGCTTTATTATTTTTTTCTATCGAAAATTTAACAATTTGTTTATTTGTATAATTAAGTATCGCAAATTTATTTAATAAAAATAATTTTTCATTTATGAATTGTTACAAAATTAAAAATTGAATTTTTCTTTTCCGAAATCAAAAAGTCTGTTTTAAATTTGATGCATATTAACATTAATTAATTAATTAATTAACATATTATAGTTCAAATAAAAAAACTAAACCAATTATTTATAATTTATCGGTAAAATTAATAAAATAGTAACTTTTAAATACGGAAATACGAAAAATTGCAATTGACAAATTTCCAAATTTATTGCCATTGTGAGAAGTGTAATACTATAAATATATTAATAAAATTGTATAGTTAATTTTATTAAATAATTTAGTTTAAAAAAAGTTTAATAGATTTCAATCCGATCCTGCATTTCTATTCATGGTATAGAGCGAAGACTCACAAAAAAGATTCCTATTGCTAACCATCAAACATCACATATATTTCGTATGTTTGTGTGTGTATTGCACGCACTATACGTTGCATAAGAATCTACACGTGCATATAAGCGAAGGAAAGGGAATGAAGTTCCACCACTCCCTTTAATAAAATTTGGGATCGACGAACTGAACGTGTCTTTGTAGAATTTTTAGGAGGTTCAAGAAGAAAATTGCCACCACGCCCAAAATCCTTCCGCGATGCACGAAACATTTATATACGTATAGTGAAAAGAGAGAAATATATATATATATATACATAATACTTGAAAAGCAAGTATTATTTTTTAATCGCATTCAATTTTTATTGCAATTAAAGACAATAAAATAGACAGGTTGATTTAAAAATTTTAAAAAATTTATTTGAATAGAAAAAAAGAAAATGCACAAAGTATAAAATACATATTACAATAAAAAAATATTTAATTTTTTTTGTAACATGTTTTTAAATAAAAGAATAACGTTTATGTCAAAAAAGTATAATTTAAATTAATTTTTTTATTATTCAATGCAAATAAAATTTCTTTAAAATATCTTCACTCTATAATGAAAACAAAAAGTTTGTTATATTTGTGGTAAGGGGACTCCAAGTAAAGAACAGACTTTTATTGATGGCGGTTCTACGATTTAACACGAATTTTACAGGTGGTTTCTACCTCGAAAAATACATGACGAACAAAAATTTTAAGTCTCTATCTCTTAAAGAAGTTTCACAATCGTCAATTTAAGAAAGTTACTATTTTAGTTTATTATTTATAACTTTTATAACTTTATTTTAACTTTATTTTTATAACTTTTTATTCTCCCTGTTATAAACAATAAAGAATATAAACAATTTAAAAATTACTTGAAAAATAAATAATAAATATTAAAAACATACAAACAATGACAAATAAATAAATATTAATTTTTAACAATAATTAATAATAATTAAAATAATAATAATTTATTTAAGTATTTCGATCATTATTATTACCATTGTAAAAGTTAACTTTTTATTTCATTAAATTATTAATTAAAAAAACTAATTAACATAGATATTAAAAAGTAATATTTATTATTTTGGATAAAAATTATTTTTTAAAGTATACAAAATTAAAAAAATACTTTAAGTTAATATTTTAATAAACAGAAATATTCTTTTTAGTTAAAATATTACTACACTCATGATCTGAAAATATTCTATTGTGAGACTACGGCCAAAGTCAAAAGGACATTTTCTTTTAGCCTCTATTAAATTTCTTTTTAGGATGAAACTGTGAAAATGATGCAAAGACGGAAAAAACTTTCTATTGACCCTTATTATAATTCCATTGGAAAAGGTAAAATTTAGGTCACAGTTGGCAACAAAAGCTTAATCAGAAACCCAAAAAAACAACTACTTAAAAAGTGTAAGGATAATTTAATACAGTGCCGCTCAATAATTTTTTTCATACCCTACAGCGATTAAACACTTTACAGAAAGTTTTGTATTTTGTTTATTATTAAAGATAAAAAGCTCAAAAAGGTCTCTTTTTAAAGCTCTTTTCTTTAGCTTTAACACTGTATAAAACAAAAATTAATTTGTTAATGTTTAAAAAATGTTATTGCAACATAAAATTTTTCAATTTTTTTTTGTTTTTTTAAAGCAATCCAGTTGTTTAGAAAATCATCGCATGTAAATCACACTTATATCGTTTTAAAGCTAGTTTTATCACCTTTAAAACGCATTTTAAAAAATTTTTAAGAATAATATGATCATTTGTTTAAATAATTAGCCATTTTTTCAATTGTTGATAACTCAAAAACGGTTCGTTTAAAAAAAATTTTTTACAACATAAATAAATTTATTGTCGTATTTATGTAATTATTTTTAATAATTTTAACTCAGGAATCGTTTAAATCACTTTTGATAATATAATTAAGTTTATTGTTTGTAATCTGATCAAAAGTTTTGTATTTAATTGCTTAGTTGAAAATAATTACATAAATACGACAATAAATTTATTTGTTTGTTGTGGTGAGTAAAAGTTGCGAATTTCTATGATTATAAGTTAAAAATATAAAAAATGCAAAAAAATTTTTTTTTTAAATATGTTAAAAAAATTTTTTTCTAAAAAAAAATTTGTATATTTTTTTTCTGATTCTACATAAAAAAATTAACAATTTATGTTGTTAAAAATTTTTTTTAAACGAACCGTTTTTGAGTTATTAACAATTGAAAAAAATGGCTAATTATTTAAACAAATGATCATATTATTCTTAAAAATTTTTTAAAATGCGTTTTAAAGGTGATAAAACTAGCTTTAAAACGATATAAGTGTGATTAACATGCGATGATTTTCTAAACAACTGTATCGCTTTGAAAAAACCAAAAAAAAAATTGAAAAATTTTATGTTGCAATAACATTTTTTAAACATTAACAAATTAATTTTTTTAATTTTTGTTGTATACAGTGTTAAAGCTAAAGAAAAGAGCTTTAAAAAGAGACCTTTTTGAGCTTTTTATCTTTAATAATAAACAAAATACAAAACTTTTTGTAAAGTGTTTAATCACTGTAGGGTATGAAAAAAATTATTGAGCGGCACTGTATATGATTGTTGATTATTCAATATTTTGACCTTTAAAAAATAATTAAATTCATAATTTTCAATTTATAATTTGTAATTTTATTATTAATTTTTTTTCAAACATTGTATCAATCGTTATTTATTCACACTGGAAACAACTAATTACAAATTTATTTTATAATCATAATCGCTACTCAGAACTGAAAACTTGATAAAAATTTGATAGAATCTTCAAATTGATACAAATTTAACAATAATTTTTGCAATGCAGATGATAAGTTTACAATACCGGCATTTATAATTTTGTTTTTTTTGGTTTGCATTATAAATTTTACTTCAACTCAAACTATACTCAGATGAGATAATTTTTTGTACCTATTCAAATAAATGTTTTGGTTTTATATGAAACAAATTCTTGTATTTAGTTAAATGCAACAAACAACTTCAAATAAAAATTTTCTCACGAGTATAACCAAATAAATTCTACATGCATTTATTAAAATGAACAAACTAAACTTTTATTTAAATCAATAAAACTGTTTCATCGTAACAAGTAAAATAGGTTAATTCAAATTCAACAGTGTTTCACGCTAAGCATTTATTTAATCGGGACATTTAAATGAACCAATGAAATTGAGGCCTTGGATCCAATAACTCGCCCGACGCTCGAAGGCACGCGCTAATACCAGCCGGGTAGCAGTGAGTGGCCCAGAGACGCTCACTGCTCACTGACTGGCAGTTGTGCGTTCCTCCGAGCGTCGGGCGAGTTATTGGATCCAAGGCCTCAATTCTATACCTAAGCGTGGTAACAATTACTTAAAAAGCAATATAATAAAAAATTATAGTAAAAAATAAAAAAATAAAATATGTAAAAAGATGCTGATAGGTTATTTTTTTCTCACTTTCTGCCAGAAGGCAATTTTGCGAAGTGAGTGTACACTGAAAGAATTTTAGGCAGGCTGCTGGCTTTTCATGTCCGAAATTAGTGCCCCTTGCGCAGGGCTCGCAGCTCACCTCAAAAAAGCGAG